ATAGATATGATATCTTAAATCACAACCCGCTCATTGGAAAGAAGGAAAGCAGTGAATGCGATGGGGTTGGTAATTTACAGGAAGCGCGGGTTTGACCACTCCATCGACACATTTTCCGCTTAGGAGGCTCTTAAAGCGGTAGAACAATATCGCATGGAACAACACGTTGTAAAAAAGATGTTGTACCCGCGTTTCCACCACATGGTGGATATTTGGCCACTCTGTAATGGACACTGAAGGGCAAAGACGTCGGCTCCTATCCGGTCGTGTGCGCTTTGTCGAAAATACATTTCAACTGTGAACTTTAAATTGCTATTCGTGTTTCAGTAGTGTTGCGAACGAAACGTCTAGAAAGGGAAGTTCTGGTTTCAGCACAAATTTAAGGGCTGAAAGAGTTGTTTTCGTAGACCACCTTATTGTTTTGGCTTCATAGATCACTTATAACCAAACATTCGCGATTTTACGAATCAATTTTGAAGTTCAACTTGTTACGAGCAAGATAATAATAGCGTCAAATCAAGTTCTCCTCATCTCAACATGATTTCATTCAGGGTTTGAAGTTAAAGAGACTAAACATAGATGTATTTCATAATGTTACTGAGCACGTGCCTGGTGGAGAGTAAAAATATAATTCAAGAGACACTCGTGGGTCTTGCACAATCAGCTGTCACTCACATCCGTTGCAACCGACTTATATTTCGATTATATTGGCTTTTGACTCAAACTGCGGCTTTGTAATTATGACACGGTAAATTTTATACCTTGCCGTTGGACAGCCTTTTTAGCAGTCAATATTTGAACCGTTCTTATGACTCGGTTTTCATACCATAAAAAATACGATTTCGCTCCACTGGCGGACTGCTCTGGTCATGATCTTTTTGCTTTCTTCTGATTGCATAATTACACTTTGACAGCCCTACAATAGTTGGGTTCTACCAATTTTCTTTAAAACAGTATAACTAGGATGGAAAAACTTAACAATTACCAAACTGTTACATTGTTTGAATGCTTTACTCCGTATTTGCGTTAAAGTACTCAATATTATTGCTTAGTAATAGCTTCTTATTTTCACCTAAGTGGTAGTCACACTCACCTCAACATTCCATGAATTCTGTAAATTTTATGAAATTATGATCATTTGGTAATGTCTCCACACAAATGACCAGATTTACTTACAGAGATACTGTAAAAGATCTATTAATTAAGCTCCTCGCATATAGTCCTGCCGTGAGTTCGCCATTTGCGCTAACTTCTTTATTACCCTTTCGGTAATCTGCAAGGTGGTTGCCGTTTCAGTAGGGGAGAGGGCTTTTCCCCAGACTTGTACCCAGAAGCTATTCAATTTTTTTTAAAAATTGGATTGTTTTAAAGAGAAAGCGGTCTGGATCGAGTGGAACGCGCGGGACGTTATGGAAAGAGGCGGGTAAAATGAGCTACTTTTCCTTCGACCCTTCTCATGACACCCCGTGCGCCTTAATCCACCCTAGTATCCAACTGTTTTCTCTCCCCCTAAACGACACGTGAATAGCAACAGGGTACGAGGCTGACCTCTCCCTTCTAGTTTAAATGGCAACCATCTTGAAGATTGTAAGAAACGAGGTAACTTTTCATGGGTAGCCTGTGGAAACGTAACCAAGTTGTGGCTAGCATAAAAGTTGTCTCTGTTAATGAGCGCGCGAAAATAATTTGTTTTTAGTAAAACTTCGTTTAAAAACAGGGTGCTTACCTTTTATCGCAGTTAACTTTTTGAGATAACCGTTGAATAATGATAAGGAATTTTTATAATTCAGCAAACTAACAGACCGAGGCTGCGCTTACCATTTGTAATTCGTTTTGTCGTTATTATGTTCCGTCGACGAGAGACTGGAAACTGGGGAATTCAGCAAATGGTGATGAAATTTCCACCGTTCCATTCCGAACAAAAGAAGAGGCGATCCTCTGGAGGTAGTCTAGAATTTCCGAAAAATTACTGCCCCATTTGCTTTCCAACCCAAATCCTCGGAATTTCTTGTTAAATGGTTAGCACCCCGCCTCAGTGCAGTTAGCTGAACAAGACAAAACATAGAAAGCATTATATACACACACTCCAACTAGTCTTTTTGGTGGTGCTATCGAAGTGCTGTGGAAGCAGCCTAACGCCTATGCGACATTTGCGAGGACTAGCGGCGATTTTTTGTTAATTACAATAGAAGTAAGAGGGAAAATATTAACATCGGAGACTCAAGGATGTCCAAAGCTGCTTTGAAGGATTATCTCTTTATTGTAGATGTTATCTTCAGTTTACTTCAGTTCAGTGTTATCAAAGATTGAATGAGTCATGTAAATATAAAAATAGCTAACACAGTAACTCCTGCATGTCTCTTGAAGATCGTCAGTAAAATGCTTTCAATTGTGAATAAGTGAATTGTGATGCCGAAGCTTCATCACGTTTCGTGTATGTAAATGCAAGTGTCTCGGAAATGGAAGAACACAACAAATATATAGACCTTTAGTCTGTAAAAAGGCATATCAATAAAAAGACATCAAAAGGTCGATATCCTGCATCCTGCATTGAACTGTGTACTCATAACTCTAACGGTTCTACAGTCGGGGGAAAAAGTTTCGTTTTCGGTAAATCCAGCTTCGTTGCAGCACCCGAAATATTTCCGATTCTTAGTATCCAGTCACAAACTAGCACGAATACTGATGAGTACTTCAAAACCTGTCATGACAGCATGACGCAATGTTGCCTAGCAACTTCGAGGACTGACCAAACTGAAGCGTGGGCTCAGTTTATGTCGTCATCAACTGGTACTTATCCCCCGACCGTGTCTAGTAAAACCTGCTGATTTCTAGTCTGCTGGCAGCCGGATTTTTCTCCAAGGGTCACTAGGATGAGTATGCAGTCATCGCGAAGGCAAAAAGGCGCTATGGCGGTGGCCGAGTAGGGAAGAAGGCGGGACAACAAGGCCGATAACGGAAGAAGGCGAGACGAGAAAAAACCGTTTTTCTTCTCGTGCGTGCCGCGCCTATGTCTCGTCCCATTCCCCTTTAGCCAAAACGTCTCGCCTCCAAACCCCTACTGAATTTCGAGAGGAAAACTGATTGTCAGCAGTCTAGCTGATTTCAAACTAGGAAGACAACTTTTCCATTTAAGCCAAGTTCGATGTGTTACAATTCAAACTAGGCTCTTAAGCTAAAGGAAATACAACGAAAGAAATTTTTAATCACCTCCTAACCTGGATACAATTTCTTCTGTTTTATTGCACCTATGGTTGAAGTCAAGTTAGAATAAGTTTTAAAATTGCTAATAATGAAACATGGAGGTGTAAATCTTGTGGGTTGCGACATTTGTCTTGCACTTCGTCGTAGATCAATCCAGAGGGCAGAATGCAGGCAATGCACAATTTTAGTATAACGTTTTGTACATGGCTTTATTAAGGATTAATTAAGTGTTTGTTTTTTACTGTAAGCCCCTGTGGGTATGTACATATACGCGAAGAGTTTTCAATTCCAAACATTGTCGTAGGAGCTTTCATGCGTCTGGACAGATCACACGGATTTCTATCCCGAGAGGAATATCGTGGATGACTTACTTTTTTCCCAGCTGATGGATAATGATAGCATCTTGGTAATGATTATTGTTCATGTTGGATGAGTGCAAGATACTGCCTGACTTTACTGGCCAGCTCTGCTTTCTTGTCTTTAGTTTTCACAGCGACACCTCTCTTCTTGAGCCAGTCAGCTAACGTTACGCTGTTTACCTTGCTGAGCTGAAGTAGATATAAAGTCTACGTTATTAAGGCACTGTGACTTCGCGCAAGTGGTCGCGCTCCGCGCTCGTGTATCGCGTTTCGCTTTCTGCCCTACTAATCCGCCTGTTCTGCAGGCTAACTTACAAATGCCTTGACCAAGAATACAACAACACTATGACCCCGCCCTGTCTTGACCAAGAACATAACAACACTAAGACCCTGCACTGTCTTGACCAATGACACAACAACACACTGACCCTAGGGCTGCCCGTGAGGGCTGGAAACAGGTTCGCTCGATCCGGAGCCCACCGCGCAACTCACAGTCGTACAAGTCAACAATTTAATTTAGCAGATCTAGAAAAAGGCAATGAATACTGATTTACCTGATCCTGTGTGGCCAACTCTCTTACATCAACGTTCTCTTGAAGCTTAGGCTTTGATCTGGGTTTTTTTGGAGGTGTGTCATCGTTTGGGAAGCCATTGATCTACAATAAGAACAATATAAAACGATTATCAGCATGAAGTAGCTAACTGAGAGTATTGCTACTTCCCCTTGGGAGGGATGCTAGTCCACGGCGCAAGGCTGTCATCTTACGATTACGCTTTCTGAGAGCCCTTGCTAAGAATTGTTTTTAAATTATAGCTCTGAGAATTTGGAGATGACAAACCTATGGCCTTATGTCCCAAGCGACAAGAACAGGATTAAGTGATTACCACCAAACCACTATTGCTAGCTTTCTGTTTCGTGTCTTCTTGACAGTAATATGCCGATATTCTAAGGATAAATTAGATGTTAAAGGATTAAAAACAGAGCAAATACGTATATAACAACGTACCTGTCTCTTTCTTGCTAAGTCAGGCCTTGATTGAATCAAAGTAGTTGAATCAAAAGGCTCAAACAACTGGTTGGGGATGTTCAACCCTCGGACGTGCTCCGTAGAACTTGCTAATGGCATGGGAAGTCTGTTCGTAAGGGTACCGTTCAGCAATGAATGATTTTCCTCCTGCTGACCCCGTTGCTCAACATTTGGACTGGCAGTGTCTCCCAGAAGCCCATGAGTTGCGTTGCCTGCTAACGAAGCTGAAGGATTGTGAATGATAGGCGCTTGCCGTCTTATTATAAGTCCAGGCCTTGTCTGGGGTAAACACTTTGACACTTGCGTCGACGAACTAGGGCTCCGCGCTGAAGTTATGTCATGCTTGCTATATGATGGTTCACTGAAAACTCTCGTAGGAGCCTTTTGCCCCTGACTTAAGGTTAATAAAGGAATTTCCCTCATGTTTTGTGTTGTTTCTCTATTTATTCCTCGTCCCATCGTATTGCTTTCTTGTGTTTGGCAGCTTCGTTTTTCAGGTAGGGTATGGCCAAGCCGCACATTGTTCCTTTCAAATGCAGTTTCCATCTTTTCCCGATCTACCGTTTGGGATGAGTTTAGGGTCAAAACTGGAGATGAAGCTTTTTGTGAGTGTACAGTGTTACGAACCCTAGGCTCTGTTGAGACAGACGTTGTCACTTTTGGTGCAACTCCTCTTGTGAGAGTTACCGTTTGTCCGCTGTTTTTATCTGTTACTGGTTGTCTGACATGACTCTGCTCTCGTTTCCTCGGGAGCATGGGTATAATTTGCGCGTCAGAGACAGAAGAGCTAACTATGTTGCCAGATACTGTTCGCTCAGGGCCATCGGAGCGAAAAACGCGGTTGCTGGTGAAACGAGGCACAAAAGGTGTTGATGATCGGGGAAATAACGGTGTAGCAATGGGTGTAGTACTTGGTTGATTAACAGCATTGCTATCCACTCTTGGGGATTGTATTTGAGAAGATGCTTGAGACAATATCAGCTGGGACGCTGAAGGAGAAATTTCTCTCTGTCTTGTAGTGTCCTGCGAACGCTGAATGGCAAAGGGTCTACAGTGGCTGAATTGAGGAGGCGCAGTCCTGGTTAAGTTACTGTGGTTTGCATGGGTAGCCTGTTGAAGCCTGCTTGTTGGGTAGAGTGGAGAAGAGGTGAAAGCCAGGGGTGTCCCGCATACAGCTGGCATGCGACACGATAGGTCTCTAAGAAACGAACTGAAAATTAGTTGATGATCACAGCGAGAAGACACCAGAACCTGGCTGCTACGAATACAGCTTGCGGGGTATCTGGATGGTTTTTGTTAAGATTTTGATCATGATTTTGGTCTTCATGTACTCCCTGGCAAAAGAGTATTTGCAGTAAATAGTTATTGAGTACACGGTTTCTGTATCCAGAGACCAAGAGTAAGTTATTACTGGGTAAAAAAAGATAAGATTAAGGCGTTTTATTGTGAGCCGGAATTTTCACTCGTTGAATGCGAGATGAAAGAGGAACGGTGATGAAGAATTAGACGCAGCGTAATTATATATCTAAGTACTCTTTTACGCTGTGTAAATACTTAGCTATACTTGGCCGGACTAAAGGATACGTAAATATTTTTCCCTTAATGTAGTAGAAATGCACGTTGTAGAAAACCTTTTCTTCAGATGGTAGTCTGTATCCGTACTGTGGGGGCAAAGTGAAGTAAAAGCGTGAAAGTATTACATTCACAGTTAGGAAGACTTTCTCGAGCTAATCCTTCGCGGTTGCAGGTAGCCCCGTGCGAAGATCGAGATAGCGCTCCTCTCTCCGCGTTCTTCACACTTAGTTTTTGATGACATTTTTTCTCTTTCTGAACTCGGATTTCGCTGCTGGACAAGTTTCTAAAAGTCAGACTAAGTCTAACTGCCAGGTGGCAATACTGATGTCGATATTGCGTCATTTTTTGATTACATGCAAAACATAGGTATTGTATCTAGATTTGTTGCATAACGTGGTTACGCTAGTTGTGTGGAGCAATGTTTTCTTGTACCCGTCACAACTTCAATTTTCCAATGAGTTCCCCGTCGAATTCACGGCATGAGATAAATTAGATATAGTGAAGCCCCGCTCTATGGACACCCGCTTATAACGGACACTTTTCCTTGTCCGACAACTAAAAAGCTCATATATTTTCCCTTAAATTAACCCGCTTAATACGGGCACAACTGGATAATGCGGACACTTTATCATGTCCCTTTGGTGTCCATATGAATGGGGTTCCACTGTACATTTCAATGCTCATCCCATTTATGTAATAAATTTTAGACGAGAACTGAAAAAAATCAGCCTTCCTTACATTTTTTTGTCCCATCATGTCTTAAAAATTCTTGCCCTACGTACCATTAGTTTCCAGTGTTTTCTTAGTTCTTCGTAACTTGCGAACGGACAGCCTTCTGGTAGTTGGTGGGTTATGCTAAATATTCTTCCCTTTTTCAAGCTGAAAAATTTGAAACAGTAATGTTGTAATGAAGTCCTGTACGATCTCTTGGTTTAAAAGAATCTTAGGTACCAAAAAGATTACTTACCTCGGCAACACATAACACAAATCGTCAACAATAGCGGCATCACTTATCAGAGCATCGCTGTTGCTTTTAAATTCGTCCAGTGCTCTTGTTGACGCAGTGAAATGCTCCGGCTGAAATCCAAAGAATATGTTTTTGTTTTCAGCCCTGTGCCTCTTAAGGTGATTCCTTGGTATTGCATTGCGCATCCCTACTGCGCACGATTTCCGCGTCATTAGCTGGCACGTGAGCGCTTGCGCGTACAAAATGTAAGAGATTTCCCTCAAACTAAGCTCGATAGCGAAATAAATGCTCCTTTTCTCTTAAACGAGCGCGGTGACCCCCATTTTTATTTCATTATTTCAATGAGAACAATATCCTCAATAACTGACAAAAAAATTAGCAGAAATCTGTGGCTACTTTTTTGGCAAATGAAATAAATACTTCAGGGGGAGATATAAAGGGCCCAATAGCGCATGTCCAAATTATGTTTCCTGTAAAGGATAAAAAAA